TCTGGCTGTGTTAGTGTCAGTGTATGTATCTGACTGTATGTGTATTTGTGTATCTAACTGTGTGTGTGCATGATTGTATGCCAGGGGGTGCAAGTGTGGGGGGAAGCAGGATCCAGGGGGCTTAAGCACATGCTTGCCCAGGGTCCATTTAATGTTAAAGACGGCCCTGATTACCAGGTATCTTTCTTCTTTACCCTTGATAAAGGCAGCGGTTGGTTGCCGAAACGTTGGGGGTTTGGTGGCTCATGTTTCTGTCCTAGGGCTGTGTGGAGCTTTGTTGGTATTGTACTACTTACTATTGTGATTGCCCTTGCTACTTGTATATTTATTTTTGTATTATTTTTATGTGGTACTTTTTATGTACATAATAAATTGCATTTTTTATTTATAATGGTTATAGTGTGCATTCTGTAATATATGGTCCTTTATTTGTGAATCTTTCTTCTTTATTACACATAACTGCTACCATCAGAAGCTTGAACGATTTACAAGTAAAGAATACTCCAAGCATCTGATAATCTGTTGGACTTTTTATTTTGGTGCAATCTGTACATATATTGTGTATTAAATTGTGGAATAAAATGATATATATTTCAAAACACACAATCAATGCTAAACCTGATTACTTTAAATTTTTCCAAATGTAAATAGCAAAGTATCTATCCACTTGGGAATGCAGCCACCATCTATGGAAATATGGTTATCTTAGTTAAAAAACAGGTCTGTGCTGGGTTTGGGGCCTGACTGCCACACTCACTGGCAGCACATGGAATGAGCTCCGAGCAAAAGCTCCAAATATAGCCAAATAACAGACTTTTCACTCGAGAAAAAACAGCATAGCTGTACTGGGAACACTCTACCTACCCAAGAGTAAAATTTTGGAGCGCTTCGCTGCCCGATCGAAAGTCTAACCCAGACATATCTCTGACTCACCCGGGAGGCTCCAGCGTGGCGAAGTGAAATCCGGCGGGCAGAGGAGATGGCTGATCTCCTGAGACATGGAGCACAGCTGCCTCACAAGCACCTAGCTTTGGATGGGTCCAGTTCCCCCCCTCTGCACCGGTGGGGGTTATCCTGATCCCCACAGGCCCAACACACTTAAATGAGCTAGTTCCTGATGACTCTGGCCCAGGCCTGAAACACCTAAAGATAGCAGATGCACCTCCCTTATGGGAGATTGCATTTACACAGTCTAGGCAAAGCATCCCTTCCTAAGCCAGTTGCCCCTATTGCACGCCTACCTAGGCCAAAGGCCCCAGAGGGATTCACCCCAAAGCATCGACCACCTCGCCAGAAGACCAGCCGGCAGAGAAACACTGGGGCCTTCTGTTGCTCCAAAAATGGGAAGGAGCCCCCGGGTCTGTGGAACATGGAGGCTCGTCTTCCTCCAGGCCTAGGACTGAAGAGGGACCTCCGTGTCAAGCCCATTACCCTACCCTGTACGGGAATTGGTTGAGTAGAAGCTACCTGGCCTATGCATCCCTTTTGTACCACAAAGAAGCAACACGGCCGACACTCGACTTGCTACAATACCAACTAAGACTCTGAGAACCGCCATCTGGCATGATTTTTTCATTTATGTTTGACTTTATTTGAGCCTTAGCACCAGGTAGGATTTTTATTCATGTTGTTGATGCGTGGCAGGCCTTTGTGGTTTTCCACTCGTGAGCACAACCATTGCCTTATTATGATATTCTTATACAGCCGACACTCCTCGTTTAATACCAAAGTTAAAACATCTGCAAACTGGACATGTCAGCCTAGTATATCACTCGACTGTTTTGGACCTTGTTTATTACTTCAATATCTTTTATTGTCTTACTCATGTTTCTAGTTTTAAAAAAGTGCAGCATTTCTTGATTTCTTATACCTATATTTGAATACTATGATTTTCTGTGTTGTACAAGTCATTGCTTAAGCCTGTATATTACTCTGCAAGGTCTGTGCACACACACACAAAAAAAACATAGTTTATCACACATGAGAATAAAATATATTAATTGCTAATAAAGCACTCTCACACCATATACATCATAGACCCATCTGCCCCTACACAAGCAATATATGCACTGCATACTCATACTACATTCTGTATAAGTAGATTGTGAAATGTTGGTCAATGCAGTTAGAGTGGGCTTCAGGTACAGTGGAAAACTCGTGGAAGATTTTTTGTTTTTGTTTAAATCTCTAGTTTTACAAACAATAGAAGAAGTACTTTTACAAAATAAAAATACAAAGCCCCCCTGCCACTAACAATTACAATAGGCCATAGTAGCTATGGTGTATGGAGGATCACCTTTAGTTTTATTAAAATGTTATTTGAGAGGGATGTCAACCTTCAAATCCACCCATAGTGCTTACTACCCTAGGTACACCTCATACATGTAAACACATGCATATCACCCCCTCCCAAGCCCTCCTTCTAGGTAATGGAATATATTTCTAACACAGAGCAGGGGGAGGTAGGTGTCCCTTGCTCAGCTCTTTCCTCCCAGTGCAGAAAGCCATGCTGCAGCCCCTCTCAGTCTGAGCAGCCTCTAAGCACCATGGGATTCAGAGCCAGAGAGAAGACCAGGGAGTGGGAGTCAGGGGGTTCCATTACTGTAAGGGATATGCCAGGGAAACATGAATTGTGTACATTGGTCCCACATGCTTGTACTGCCACATATAGGTCTGACTAGCTGTTTTACCCATTTACACCTCATTGTTTTTCATTATCGCCATTAATAGTGGGTGTGATCTGCACTATAGGCACCCAGGACATTCCTTGTCCCACGTAGGCCTGCAATATAAAACCTTGCAGTTTTTAATAAATTGCAATGTTTACATTGTAGTACTAAGGCAGCCTCTAGTGCAGGGGTGCCCAAAAGATAGATCCCCAGATGTTTTAAAACTACAGCTTTGTCCATGATGCTTTGTCATTCTAAAGGCATGCAAAGCATCATGGATTTATCGTATGGGGATCTACCTTTTCTTTACTTTGTTTAACTGATGCTGGACATTCTCACACTATGCATTAGGATATCCACTGTCTGTAAAATCTCCATAGGCAGGCATTGCTTTAATGCTTTCCTATAGGAAGGGTCTAATGCGCTCTCCGCACATGCGCATTAGGTCCTCCCGTCAAAGGAGGCCGAGCGCCTACCCAGCACCAAGGGAGATCGTAAGTAAATAAAGGGTCACAGATGATGTGTTAGAGGTCAAACAATTAGAAAACAATTAAACAATTACATTAGAGAGGTTCCCGGGTGTTTCTGGAACCATAACTACCATAGCACTCTGTAGTAGTTGTGGTGTTTGCAGTGTTTCTTTAAAAAACGATGGTTTATAGCCTAGGCATCATACTAGAATTGAGATATTTTGTGAGCTTCACAAGACATCAGAACCAAAGGACAAGCTAGATCTGCAAGTACAGAAAACTTGTAGGTTAAATAATAATACTGTCTATAATTTAATGGTTGGCTCACCTATCTATCTAACACAAACTGAATAGTCCATATAATCAACAGAATTTCCCATCTGAGATGTTTAACTAGGTTAGTTATCTTAATGTAAAATAGTAGCTATTTACCAGACTGGTTCCCATTCAATGATCACAGTATCTTCAATAAAACTTATTTTTATTAGGTTAGTATTAAGGAATTTAAGAAAAAAAGATGGCCGATGAGATTGTCCAAATATAAAAGACAGAAAAAAGGGGGTAACCCTAAATAATTGAAAACAATAGAAAGGAAAGAGAATCTGTCCCTTGAATAAAAATCTAGAAGATACTTTATTTGTCTAATGCAAAAGACATTCCTAAAATAGACTACCTCTCACACTCTAATATGGTTTTAATGGGTGTCCGAACCGGAAAGATCAAAAAACCAACATAGATCCAGAACCCTACAGTTACTTTCTTCACTCCAGACTCAACCACTACTATTGTGCATCAAGATTTACAAATTGGCACATACTTTTTGTTTTATGTTTTCCCTTATCCCCCTTCTTTTCTCCCCCTATTTAAACGCCCTCAGCACCTAATGTTGTTTTTTTGATCTGTCCGGTTCGGACACCCATTAAAACCATATTAGAGTGTGAGAGGTAGTCTATTTTAGGAATGTCTTTTGCATTAGACAAATAAAGTATCTTCTATATTTTTATTCAAGGGACAGATTCTCTTTCCTTTCTATAGTATTAAGGAATTGAATCAAAATCCAGACATCACCAGTCACAATTTCCTGGGACAAAATATATCAGAAGACACAATCAAGGAGTTATGGAAGCATGTATATAGTTATGTGTTGTGTTACCATTCCTGTGCTTGTGGGGTCTTACATGATTCTTTTTATACACATGAATGGTATTTAAATATATGTATATTATACATAGTGGTTGTGAAAGTCACTTTCCTTTTAATGAGATATAGTTTTTGTTTTCTGTGCAGCACTGAATAATAGAGGTGATATCAGTACCTTATCTGGCAACTCAGTACACATGGTAACACCATTTAGTCCAGAAGAAATATTAAATAAATGCATGGACAGGCTAACAGTTTATGAGCACCATGAAATCTTTCGTTACACCCACATCTACTTTTTTGGTCCCAGTGCAAGGGAATATCATGGTTTTATTGGTGATCCAAATAATTGTGGCTATGATGACCCACAGGGTTTCTATATTCCAGTGCCACATGATCACATCGCGTACACGTATGAAGTGCTGAGAGTTCTTGGGAAAGGATCATCTGGACAAGTAATGAAGGTGTACGATCACAAACTGCAACAGCATGTGGCTTTAAAAATGGTCCGTAATGAGAGAGATTGTCATCAGCAGGCCATGAATGAGATACGAATACTTAAACATCTGACGAAACAAGACAAGGATAACAACATGAATGTCATTCACATGCTGGACCACTTTACTTTCCAAAATTATATATGTATGACATTTGAATTACTCAGCATGGACCTGTACAAACTTATGAAGAAAAACAAGTTCACTGGTTTCAGTCTTCCAAAATGGGTACATTTGAGAATTCAGTTTTACAGTGCTTGGATTCCTTGCAGAAAAACAGAATCATCCATTGCGACCTCAAACCAGAGAACATTCTGTTAAAAGAATTTGGCAAAACTGACATCAAGGTGACAGACTTTGGATCAAGCTGCTATGATCATCAGCGCAATGGGAAATACATCCAGACTATGCAGTGGCGTGAACATTCATGGGCCCCGGTGCTATTGATATGTGGAGCCTGGGCTGCATTCTTGCAGAGCTCTTAACTGGAGATCCACTATTACCCGGATGAATACGACCAACTTGCCCGGATGATTGAGTTATTTGGTATGCCACTTAAAAAAATACTTAGATCTTCAAAAAGCTACTACAGGTTTTTCAACACCAAAGGACACCCTGATTACTGCACTGCTAGATACCTGTCAGATAGATCAGTGGTATTGAATGGCAGTCACTCTGAAGCAGGAACATGGCGTGGTCCACCTGGCAGTAGAGACTTAGTCACCACACTAAAGGGTTCTGAAGATCCTCTTTTTATGAATTTTCTTATCCAGTGCTTTCAATGGGATCTTGCACAGCGTATGACACCGAGCCAGGCGTTACTACATCCATGGCTACGGGGACCGTTGTCAAAGTCTCCAAAGGGGAAACATGGCTGATTGTGATGCATTCAACGCTATGCTGAACGTTAATTATTTAATAAATGATTAAAAAAAAAATCCTGCAATATTTAATTATTATCAATAGCACATGGCATTGCAAACAATAGTGACAATGCTTCAAGTTTTCCAACAGTTTAAATTTGTTTATTTCAGTTTAAGGATTTAAGGTAATGTCATTCTGATTTTAGGTAATGTCATGACCACTGACTCATCCATTCTGACTGTTAAATTGTATTAATGACCTGGAGACTACTGATGTTTGAGTGAAGGTGTGTGTTTGGATATCATTTTCAAGTTTAAATGCAGAGGTGTGTTTGGATATAGTATTTATGTTAGATTGCAGGAGTGTGTCTGCATGTTGTGCTGGTGTTTGATTGCTTGGCTGTATTCACATACACATGTACACTACCATGTACATGCATACTTACACAGATAAACATACAAATGAAGAGAGACATATAAATACACTGACACATACACACAATTTCATATAGACACCGACACATACACACACATTGACAAACGCATTTACATATATACACACAAACGTACACCCTGACACACACAAACACTGACACATGCACACACAATGACACAGAGATACACACACTGACAAACAAACACACAGGTGCACACCCTGACACGTTGATGCACACCTTTTCACACAGATGCACATACACATATGCACATCCTGGCACACATATGTGTGTGGGGAAACACACACACCTTGACAAACAGATACAAAGAATGACATATACACACACAGATGCACACAGAGACATACACACACAGATGCACACCCTGAAAAACAGAGGCACAGACACACGCACAGATACACAGATGCATACACTGATACAAACACAATCAGACACACAAACACACAACCTGACATACACATAATTGTTATATTTGCAGCCACCCTCCTGTTAGCAAACCTATTGTGTCCTGGAGGGTGGCTTGCTTGGGGTCCTGGTGCTGGCTGAGGTCAATGAGAGTGAAGGGTTTGGAGGAGCTATCTCTTCTTGCTGCCTCTGCTGCCTCCTCCCTCCTGTGCAGTCTCTCAGTAAGAAGCTGGAAGGAAGTGGCAGGCTGTCAATTCCTCCCAGCAGCCAATACCATACGGGGCCCGGTCGGGTTTTGTGTCCCTTTAAAATTGCAACTGGGCCCATGTTGAGCCATAAAGTAGTGGTACTCATCGGCTGGCACTAAGTGAATCGGCCACCCAATGGGCCCCCTGGCTGTGCAGGCCCTTGTGAAACAGGGAACCCCTGTATTTCGTACTAAATAAAAATGTAATTTGTCAATCCCGAATTTAGTCCGGAAACCATTCGTTTTCAAACGAATTTCCATTAGGATGGAAACAGCACTGCGCATGGGCAAAAAAAAAGGAAAGGCAAGGAGGGGACCGGCAGCGCTACCAGGTACCTCCTTATAATACATAACTATTCCTACCCCCTCTCCCCCCGCATTAAAACCTATGGGGGACACTATGACCCCCATATTAATAAAAGGGAGGTTAAATCTTCACGAATGCCGCTACACATGGCATACCGCGAGTAGGTGCCTAAACAAATTTAAAAGTACTAGTGACTGGGCAGCTATTGCTTCCCAGTCACTAGTGCAATAAGGGTGTCCTGGCACAGGTTAAATACTGCTGCATGCCCCTGCCTGTGCTAGGTCCCCCATGTAGTAGGGGCATGCCGCCTAAACAGCGAGTCTGTCATTTAAAACTGGATATAACCCAAGGTGAAGCGGAGGGCCGATGACCCAATAAAGCGCAATATGAACACTATCCACCACAAACCAAGTAAGTCACTGCTGCCGCAAGCAAAGCTCAGACAGACGTTGGACACCTTTCTGGAATACCACTTTAACCTTACCTGCCCCCACTCCAGCGGGATGATGGTTCTGACACCAGGACTCTCATGGCAGAACTTAGTTTGGCTCCAACGGGGAATTGGCTGACCCTGCAGATGGGCAGAGGACTCTCCCACCCCTGGCAGGTAGTTCCAAGGGCACCAGCAACAGACTTAGACATTTATACAAGTGCCTATTTTTATTTTAATTATTGTTGCATTTAAGACCTCAGCTGCCTATACTATACAAGCGTTGACCTTGCAGGAGGGAGAGATAGTCTGGTACCAGGTGACCTCACTACACTTGGACTCTGAGCGGCATAGGCTAAATGCCATAAGTAGTCTCACACCGGTCCCGGTGTAACCAGGGTATCGGCCAGTTGTATTTTACCAGCATGCTACAATGTTGATTGCATTCATTTTATTTTTAATGCCTCTGTTGAAACTACTAACCCAACTTAAGTACCCTCATATAATACTATCTTGTCTATATACGAAAATGTGCAGTATAAGTCTGTCATGTTCTTCACCATGTTAGACACACTAGTTTAGCTTGGACCTAGCCTACATCGTATATAGCATGTTTACGTTATCGCATTGCCCGGGTGATAAGCACAGTATACATATTTGTTACTCACTTTCATGCCCCAGCTACACCCAGCATGTATCATTAATTTGTTGTGTATTATTAAAAAAAATGTGCAGTTACTCCACATACCATGTCAAAGTTACACAATGTTTGATGCTTGAACTACTTGCCAATACTGTCGTGGTATCGCAAGTCTGTATGTAAACGCATGCACTGCAAAAATAAAGAATTTTAAAAAACTGGATATAAAAATCAGTATTTTATATAGAAGTGATATAGTGATAACCAAGTACATGTAACCAAAAGTTATAGCAAAACTATAACAATGTTGCAACATGAAAAAGTAGCTATTTAGATCTAAATACTCTTACCGTAGCTTTAACACTTCTATATAGGATACATTTATATCCAGTTTTAAATGACAGCGAGCAGCCGGTGGCTGCTTGCTGTAATTTGAAACTAAATATAAATCAGCTATTGCTGCCCAGTCACTAGTGCAATAAGGGGGGACCTGGCACATGTTAAATCCTGCTGCATGTCCCTACCTGTGCCAGGTCCCCCGGTGTAGTAGGTCGCCAGTGGCTGCTCGCTGTCATTTAAAACTACTATTGAATTAGGGTCCCCACCCGCCACTGATGTGTGGGGACCTGGAGGGGACATTAGGTCCCCCTTATTATTTATTTAGGGTCCCCACCTGCCGCTCATGAGTGGGGACCTGGGGGGACATTTGGTCCCCCCCATTATATATTTATTAAGGGTCCCCACCCGCCGTTCATGGGTGGGGGCAGGGGGTACATTAGGTCCCCCTTTAATTATTAGGGTCCCCACCCATCATTCATGGGTGGGAATCTGGGGGGGCACTATGTCCTCCCATTTTAGTTATATTCTGTTCCCCACCATGGGGGAACGGGACCTGTGCCAGGACACCCTTATTGCACTAGCGACTGGGCCCCCATAGGTTTTAATGCATGCAAAGGGGGTAGGAATAGTTATTTATTACAAGGAGGGAGCTGGTAGCGTTGCCGCCTCCCTCCTTGTTTTTTTTTTAGTTGTGCATGCGCACTGTGGGGATTAATTCCTGTGCAACACGGAGTCTGTTAAACGAACGAAACAAAATGAAAAGGTAATGCATTTGCCCTTTTGTTTCGTTTAGATTTCGTTTGTAGAGCTTTCGTTTACGTTTTAGTAAATGAATACGAAAAAACCCCAATTTTTTTTATGAAATCGTATTTGTACGAAAACAAATGCACATGTCTATTGGGCACAGCTGGTCTAACTCAATTGGCTACAACAATTATGAACAGATTCATTTAAACAGTGACTTTACAGGGGTTCCTCTTTAGCAACTTGACTTACAAGTCTGAGCGCTGAACAATAACATTATCACAACTTTACAGCTGTCTGTTCTTATTAGGAGGAAGAATACAGGGTACAGGATGGAAGTTGGAATCACAGGCAAACTTGTAACAGTCGCATTCAGGGCCGCCATCAGAAATTGTGGGGACCCTAACATAGCTCAAGGTCTGGGCCCCCGGATGCCCGCCTCCAAGCCTCGCCTCCAAATCCCGCCCACAGGAATACACACACAGACACAAAAGGACACAGACACACACACAGGAAGATACACACATACTAACAGACACAAATACTGAAACAGACATCCACACATATAGACACATACACAGATACAGATACACACACACTGTGGGGATATTTATGGGATAATAATAGTAACAGTTGAGAATTGCCCACTAATTCAATTCTCAGATCCCAAATAACGTTTATCGTAAGTGAAAGTATTTCATATAAATAATATCATAATCTTTTTTATAAAAATAGATTTTATTTTTAATGACAAGTTAATTAATAATAATATATGTAACATGCATAACAATAATCAATGAATATCCAGTACAAAATTATATGCAATACAAAGAAATGGGTATTACGTTACAATGGCTAAATAGCATTTCCTGTCAAGAATTCTGACGATTTATGAGGTATCCTTAACACAGACTTAAGTGAAACTTTTCACAGGGAAGAACAGAATTCCTCAGAGTGCAGCGTAAGGTCGTAAAGTTTAGCAGACAGTTAGAATAACCCTTTCAATG